GTATGAAATAAAATGATAATAGTATGAAATAAAATAGAAATAGAATGAAATATTATAAAAATAGTATGAAATAAATACGGATAATATAAAATAAATATGGATATGATTTACAAATCAATTATCCAATGAAAATTAACTATGAAAAGTCATGTGATATGCTAAAATTCATATCACAACACTATAGAATTTTTCCGAACATACACAAATATCACGTGATTTGATAATTTTTTCGACATGGTGATCTAGATATCGAATTTTCGTTGTCGATCATTGGACCAAACATGTCAGTATCCTCGACGACAACGACTCCAGATACCGAACAAACACTACCTACCTTTTCACCTTCAAGCTTATCAAAGAATGCACAAAAACGTATTTTAAAGCAGCAGAAATGGGAGGCTACTCGTGCACTACGTAAAGAGGTTAGAAAAGAAAAAGAAAAGAAGAAAAAGGCGCGAAAACAAGAGCAACAAAGGACAGCGGAAGGTGACAAAGGTATCCGGCATTTTGAAAGGAAATTTCTATAGTTGGATATTTGATATTTTGCATTTTCATCTCATTTTAATGATCGATAAAGATTCTGTTAAACCAAGGGAACCGCCATTGAAAAAACAAAAAATAGTTCAAACTCCGAGTACAATGAAAGTTATAATTGATCTGGATTTTGACGATTATATGAGTGATAAGGTTAATATCTTGGATTTTCGCATAAAACAAGCAACTAGAGAAAGAAACGATTAATTGGACTTTTGGCTATCCTAGGAAATTGTTGACCTTTCTGCACAATTGACACGATGTTACTCTTACAACAATAATAAAACAGTAAACCCTGTTGGTCTATTCTACACATCTTTTAGCGGGCGTCTTCAGGAACGATTCGATACTCGCCTCAAAGAATACCACAATTGGAAAAATGTGATAATAGAAAATAAACCATATCTAGAACTTTTCCCTAATAAACAAGATCTTGTTTATTTGACGGCCGATGATGAAGAAGTTGTGCTTCAGGAATTGGACGAGAGTAAAATATATATTATTGGTGGGATTGTGGATAAAAATCGGCACAAGGTTTTTATGATATTACGCTTGATTAATTACTTATTTTATATCGTAAAATAACTGACCATTTTTTGCATTTGCAAAGCGATTATGTTATCATAAAGCGAAACTAGAAGGTATTGCTACCGCTAAATTACCGATCAGTCAGTATATCAAATTAAATTCGAGACATGTACTCACTATTAATCATGGCAAGTTGATCTGTTATATTCCAAAATCGAAAAGCAAATATATACCACGAAAAATTCATTACTTTTATTTTTTTTTAATTATCCCTTTTCCTGCCAAAGTATTTGAAATTCTCGTTGATTGGCTAGAAACTAAGAATTGGCGAGAGACTCTATTAAAAGTTATTCCGCCGCGAAAATTTCATCCAGATAGCAAAAAGCAGAGACGTGAGACTGCAAAGAAAAATTTGCAATTAAATAATGAAGATGAAAAGAATTTGACAAAGATAGAGTCAAATGAAGAAAGCAAGTTATTGGAGGTGAATCAAAAAGTAGAATTAGATGTTAATGTCTCGAGTAATGATGAGGTTGATGAGGGTGGGGATGATAATGGTGATGATGGCGAAAATGATATAGATTAAGAGAAGACCGAAGTGTATACGCTGTTGAGCGTAAAAGGAAGAATCGTGGCTGATTATCGAATATTGCATTTTAAATAGCTTTTATTCCCTAATAGGATTTTTATATAATCAGGAATAGATAATAGATCAAATAATTAAAGTACTGGTATGATTTATAATTTAATTGTTACCATTAATTAACTGGTTTCAAATAAATAATTGCTTACGAGTAGGTGCAAAAACATTTTAAATTAAAAAATATATTACAACTGAAGTAAATTCTAACATAAAGGACCTCTCAAAAGATTATTTCAATCCAACAACCATTATTATTAGTATTATTATGTATCAAGAAGCAGCAGCACACAAATAAAACCTAATCTTCTCCTGTTGGGATTTCCTCTTCAATTGTACGAATTAATTTTACACGCATTTCAGTCTGATCGTCACCATGCAATACATCACTTATGAAATTAGCTTCAACCTGCATTTGCACCTTAAAACGCCAAAAGAAATTAAAATATTAATCATTTCCGTATTAATAACCAGTAGAAATAAGAAATAATATTACCATTTCCAACGATCCTCTTAAAACACCACATAGTATATTGGAATACCAAAGATCTTCAGTCGCAGAGTTATCTTCCGGTAATTCAACGAATTCCGCTAACGGATTCTCGTCAAACACCAATGAGAATTCTTGACCATTCGGCGCCCAGTTTGTGACTGTGGGCGTGATATTTAAAAAGATTTTGAAACCTACCTATGATTGATAAATTGTTGATATTAAAAATGAATAAAGAATGATGGCTGTTTTGTTTTTTACCTTTGATATTACTTCAGCTGTTTCACGAAAATCTGCACATCTGCCTAAACTAGCTCGTGCTAAGAAATCCTCAATTAATCGAACACCGATATTATAGCCCCTATTTAATCAATTATAATTAATTTATGGATAAAAAGACAATTCTAAAATATAAAACATTAAGACAACTAAAGACTGACATTTTCTCTAATTGCTTATTAACTTCTTGATAATCTTCATAATCTTTTACTAATTGCGCGACAATAGAACCATAAGTTAATGTGAACAATTCCGCGTTCTAACAAAAGAAAACGGTTAATAATTAAATAAATACGAACAAAATAAAAATCAAGTTTAATCGAACTATCGAACTTTTTCAATTCTTTTTTACTTATATAATGTTACTGACTATTTTTTCGACACGGTTTTTCCACACGTCTTCGCCCAAGGTTCTGTATTGTTTGGACATTTTCTTAAGGGTAAGTTTATTATCTTCTGTGAGACGTGGTTAAATAGTTTTTGTATAGGTGGTACAATAAATTTGATGCGCAAGAATTTTTAATTTGCACTCTTTTTACAAGACGAAATCGAATAAATGTCGACTGCTATTGAAACAAAAACTCGACGACGTGACTTGGTGTTTGGAATCGCGTTTATAACACGTATTTTACTTTTTCAGTTTTCTGAAATAACTAATGTGTTAGCGAGTAGGGTAGAAGTTGTCACGCCAGTTACAAGCTTCACGAGACGTATGTGAGTGAGTTTAGTTAACCAAACAATATTACTCGAATGAAAATTTGACTTTTTTCCTGAAATTATAATGAAAAATTAATTTATATATCTTCAAATATAAAATAGTTACCGAAGGCCTCTACCTATTTCAAAATGGTGTTCCACCTTATGACGGTGGTGTTTTTCATCAAGTAAATTTTCGATTTTATAATCTAAATAATTTTCGAACACATAATAATTAATAATTTCATGCATCTTAAAAAAAAAGGCACCACTCTTACTAGCATTTTTTCAACCGCTAAGCTATCTTCCAGATCAATTTACATCTTTAACATATATACTGGTTGATCTCTTACTGGGGTATCTCTTGAGTCAAATCTCACGAACAAAAGAACAATTGTATAAAGATTTGCCACGTGTTGATGATATTGAATTAATTGATGATAATAAAAGTGAAGGTGAAAATGAAGAGCCAAGTTGGGTTGTAGCTGGACTGTAGGTATTTTCATTTAACCTTCTATTTTTACTAACTGTAATTTTATTAAATTCTGGTATATTTATAGATATCTTTTTAATCCACTTACGATAGCGACTTGTCTATCAAAATCTACCATAACATTTACTAATTTGGCGATTGCATTGGGAACTTTTTATTCTCTTAAAGGTGCGCAACGTCATTTTCTTTTTTGAATTTTTTAGTTAGTATGATTAAATGATTGTTTTTTTAAATTAATGTCAGGAAACAAAATTTATGGATGTTTCTGGATTGCGATGGCAACATATTTAAGTTTTTATCCATTAATGCTCATAATACCGATAACAATGTTATTGGTAAATAATAATTCTGGGAAAATTACGTCTCAACCTCTACAAAAATCATTTTCTGCTTCATCCTCATCATCATCATCATCATCATCATCAAAATCAATTACAAACTCGAAAAAGGTAAAATTATCTAAAATTCATGTCTTATAAATTACATATTGAAAAAAGCTAAGAACAATTTTTTGTATAATTTCCAGATAGAGATAGCACAATGTATAATACTTTATATTGGAGGGTTAGCAGTATTATTGTTTTTGTCTTATATATTGGTCGAATCTTGGGATTTTTTGGAGGCTACTTATGGTGTTATGTACGTGATCGAAAAATTTTGTGGTTTCATAATGTTTATATTCAATTACGAGTTTTGATCCAATTACATGATTTTTTGTAGTCTTCTTTTACCAGACCTAACCCCGAATATCGGTCTATTTTGGTACTTTTTCATTGAAATGTTTGACTCATTTCGAGGCTTCTTTTTAGTGGTGTTTCAATTGCACGTATTTATTTATGCCGCGCCCATTTCTTTGAGGTTTAGGTAAACAATTATAATGACTTAACATTAATTTCATTATCGAGTATTATTATGAGAAATTTAAAGGTTTTTTTTTTATTAAAAAAATAAAAAGAGATCATCCTCTTTTTGTTATTTTTTTATTAGGTGGTATAATGGCTGTATTTAAATCATATCCATCAATTGGTGACGCGTCTTTCTATCTCGGATTTTTGCCGATATATTCGGAAATTGTGAAATGTAATTATCAAATAAATCTTTTTACTTATTACCTTATTACCTGTACCTTTCCTCTCTTTATTTATTAATTAACATAAATATCAAAAAACACGATGATATACACACTACCACTCAAATAAATATAGACATGCGATACAACTTTTTCACTACAAATATATTCCTCTATTCGTCGGTACTAGCGCCGATTTTCTATCATTTATGGATATACGCTGGGAGCGGAAATGCAAATTTCTTTTACGCAATCACACTAGTATATAGTGTTGGTAATATCATTTTGTTGGTGGACGCGACATTTGCGATGTTACGACGCGAATTTGACGTTTGGAATCCAAAGTTACGGTATTCTGAGGTTATGCAGCGTTGAAGCGTTTTTAGGTGTTTGTGGGAAGAGGGTGGATGGGAAGTAGAGTAAGAGAGGAGAAATGAGAGATGAGAAAGGAGTTTTGTTGGATGTTTCACTATGGAGGAGGAAGTATTTTTTTGATTAAATGATTCATGTATAACAATAATGGTCTAGTGATATTCTAGGTTTATCACCAATAAAATCTTAACATTTAATTTTCCAGTAAATCCGATAGAATTCATTAATCGCGTGCTTTAGTTTGAATTATAGTTTGATTTCTTGATGCTGGCCAAAATCCAAATAAAACCAAAGCTTGTAGGAATGCGCCGCCATCTTCGTTCCTGTGGGAATGCGTCCGTTCATGAATTTTCATCTTATTCCTTCGTGAGGCGTGCCATGCATAAATCATAACCGACTGCTTTGGTTTCCCGGGAGGTCCTGAAGAGGGAAGAGATATGTGAACGCCTTGGAACGAGAATAGATAAAGAGGCACACTTCACAGAGGAATAAAGATTCGTGAAATGAGAATTCATGAGCGACGCATTCCCCAAGGGATGGGTACAAAGGAAGCATCTAACATATGAATGGTTAGTTAGATCAATAACACAAATTCCGTTTAAAAAGAAGTAATGTATGGGTAAATGCTCAAGACTGACTGGATCAGAATCATCCGTCAAAAGAAAAGATCTCGAGTTAGGTGGATGCAATCTTCTGCGTATTTTATTGAATTGCTATTATTTTTTTGATAACCATCTTTTTTGTGTTAATTTTCACCTTCTCGTGACTAAATTTCATATTTAATTTCCGCTTTAGGCTATTTCCGGATTAGCGAGTGTACGGTTTAACGGGAGCGACGTATTTAGAAAATAGTTTCTAACAAGGTAGACACAAAAAAGGGAATATTGCCTTTTTAACTACGCGGCTTCTTCAAAGCTATACTCTGTTGTTATCTCAAATTTCTTTTTATCCCTTTTGTTAGGAGACGATAGATTGTGATGTGGTTGTGTTATGTTTTACGTCCGACAACGATGACAATCTTAATAATTTTTTACTATCATCTTTTAGTAAAGATATATAGCAAACAACTACTCTGAATGTGGCTTTAATTCTGCATAGCGGATTTAAGGATTTTTAAAATTGCGCTGTGCAGAGACTCTAGCTTCGTTGGTGAAGCATGTAATTCCTTTTGCTCAGTCTTAGATTAGCACTTAATAATTTTTTAAAAGATTACACTTTTTATCTTATAAATCTTTGCTCAATATCTCATAATCATATTCCCCTGCTTCTTTTGGATCTAGAAAAAGACTCGGAGAGATGCCGTCAATTTGGTAACTTTTGTAAAAAAAAATATAATTAACAATAATCAACAATCAAATATAAAAAAATCGCTTGTTAATCAATTACCCAAGGTGGTTGCAATAAAAATTCAAGGCTTTCGTATTTGCTTTAAATGTCGTCAATATACTTTTCTTCATTTTCCATCGTCTGCCCAGATCTTCCATCGTTCGCATGAGAAAGGTCCCAAGTCCTTTTCCTCTTGCATGTTCTGTGATTTGGACTTCGTAACTTTTTATAAAATAAGTAGTAAATAATCTTAAAAATTTAAAAAAATAAAAAACTCAAAATTTTCATACCAATATATTACTTCAACTTCATCCTCGTAATCATTATTTACATCATTATCATCGTCACCTTCATTTGCCACCTCTTCCCATGAGAATTGGAATAATAAGAATCCAAGTAATTCACCACCATCTCTGCGTAATTTTTGTTCATGATCCTGTTGTTGCTCTTGCTCACTAGTATGATCATTCTTACGACGCGCAATCAAGTAACGAGCACCAGGTTCACGCATTTCATCTCGTTTCTCGCGTGGAATCCATCCATAATTTGATTTTTTGTAGCTGAATACAAGATCCAAAATCATAAACTGTTCAATAAAATCAAACATTAATTTATATAGATTCATACAACTCTCCAACATTTCGTTTCACAAGATCAAAAGCCCATTGCGCAAGATTATTCGGTAAATTGGAAATTGGATATGATTCTATTGTTACAATGAACCTTTGATTGTTTGTTTTAGAAATCAGTAATATCATCAATTCATCAAATGCTCCCTATCCAAGACACAACAATGATTTGAACGTACTCTTCATCGTATTTGTACTCGATAGGCCCAAGGAAACCGAGAATATTTGTTTCCTTTTTAAATTTTGATCATTATTACATGGCATATACTCTAAGAATGGTTAAATAGAAAAGCAATATTGTTTAAACCTCGCTAGCAATATCGACAAGACTTTTCTTGTGATCCATTGTTAACTGTATATCTATGAATTAGATAAATTAAAAAATCATGGCAACTAAATATTTTTTAAGATTCAGCTTTTTATTATAAATTAAAGTTATTGCAAGATGTTAGTTAATGTTTACAAAATTAATATTATTACTTCTGACTCAAACTATATATATTTACGATCATGTATAAATGCATGCAAAGAGAATATAGAAAATACTCGATAGAAACCAATTTAATACTTACAACCTATATTATTGACTAATGAATTTGCGATAAACACCAATTCCCATTAAGCAGCATACATTAATACTTTCAAATAATCTAAAAAAAGATGCACACTACATAATTGTGAGGATATATAAAGAGATATTCAAAGGCTACCTCACTAATTATCTGTTCATATGGATTCTGTTATGATTTATATATATGAATGTATATCTTAATGACTATTAAGGAGTAGTTGGGGAATGGGAATTACTACCATTTCCGCTTTGATCCGATTTTCGACGTTCTCGTATTTCTCGGTCGCGATCACGGTCACGATCTCTTTCTCGCTCACGATCTCTTTGCTCGCGATCACGATCTCTGTCACGATCTCTTTCTCTTTCCCGTTCTCGTTCCCTATCACGGTCGCGTTCTCGTTCGGATCGATCAGTTCGATCGCGATCCCTTTCTCTGTCACGCTCTCTGTCGCGTTCAGAGCGGTCTCTATCACGATCACGATCGCGTTCAGATCGATCACGATCTCTTTCACGGTCACGATCACGGTCACGTTCTATTCCTCGTTCACCACGATCACTTCTTTCACGTTCTTGATGAGACGAAGATAACGAGGAAATAGAGTGTGATTCTTCCGTCACGGAAGAAGCCCTTGGCGAATTTTTGCTTCTTTTTGTATTCACATCCTCGCGTGATCGATCTTCTATATCTATATCACCTTTTGGAGGACTATAAGGTCTCTTTTGCCCACTAATTACGGTAGTTGGTGATGAATTATTGACTGGTGAGTTGCTCGAGGTAGCAGTTACAGGTGTTTCACCACGTATACTAATTAAAACATTAGCTGTGTCATCATAATCTTCGTCTACCTGCCGCGAGGATGTAGAAACGACAGGTGAGTTAAGTACGTTTCTATCCGAATTTGGTGGTGGTGTACGAAAATTTCCAAGACCTGAAAGTTTTACATTATCAGTAGTATCCAACGGACTACTTGGAGAAGTTGCGACTCCATTATTATCCGTGTTACGAGATAGACCAGGCGATTCAGATGGTGATCGAGGACTTGTTTCTTCATTCAAGATATTTGGTTTATGAAGTTCAACTCGATTTAAATGTTGTGGAGGCGGCTGTTGTTGTTCCACCAAAGAATTTGAAGATTTTCGTGAAATTGGCGGTAATTCATTATTATTTGTGTTATTGTTGTTGTTGGAGGTGGCGGTAGTGTTGTTATTGGCATTGGTAGTAGCATTATCGTTAGTGACGGTAGCGGTGTTATTATTGTTGTTGTTAGTATTAGTAGGAGTAGTAGTAGATATTGATATTGAAGTGGGGCTACGCAGATCGGATACGAAAGGGCCATTTTCTCTCATCGGTGAATCATGTGGCAAAGATGTTCTTGGAGTTGGTGTTTCAGGGACTTTTAATTCCGGGAGGTTTATTGAATTTGATCTTCTTCTGTCGTGAATTTCTTCCTGTTGAAATGTATGAATCGAAGGGACCACATTTCCACTACCAACTTTCTCATCGTCAACTGGTTGTTCCTGTATCCGGTGACCAACTACATGATCAAGTGGTGGTTGAGGCGGAGCATTCAAAATCTGCTGTGGAGGTGGTACTCTTGATGGTGGACCATGCTCAACGATATTATTCGAGACGCCATCAACTGAAGTGTCTTCAGGTTTCATTTGTGAATCTCGATATTGATGGTTATGATGATGTGATGAATGGCTATCATGGTTATTAGCTATTGGTGGCGGTTGTTCACTAATATGATAAGGCGGAATACCATTGTTATGTTTATCTTCCCCCTTTATTTTTGTTGGATCATAAATTTCATCGCGACGATCATGAAGAATATCGTGGTGGGATGCAGAATGTGATGAATGAGGTTGCTGATGAGAAGACTGATGAGGAGGCAAAATAGGTGATGAATATTGTTCGGGACCTGGTAATTTTGGTGATGCCAAAGTATAAGATGGGCGGACGGATGATTGAGGCTCAGATAATTGAGGAGAATATCCACGATTGCTACGGGAATCAGAAATAGGAGGAATCTGCGGAGAAGGAGAAACACGCTTTTCCATACGCAATTGTGGAGTCGAGGGTGGAGCTTGTGATTGCTGACCTAATTGACGATTATCGTGTTGAGGTGGTGGCATCATTGGATTCAAAGTATGGTGTTGATTTGGAGGCGTAGTTGGTTCGCCGCGAATATGAGGAGGCAAAGGCGGATGATTATATTGACCAGACGGACCTGGACTTCGACGACTTGTATTCATAGGAGGCAAGTCACGTCCACTACCTTGCATATTATTCGGGAAGTTAACAGGCAAAGGTGGAGGAGGATGTGTCTGTCGATTATCCATTCTCCCGTAACCTCCTAAACCTGGAGGACCTGGTGGCCCAGGAGTCGGATGAGCAAATTGTGGCGGTGGATTGTTCATCATCGACGGCGAATTATTATTATACGCTTGTGGATTCACGTCTTGTGGGACCGGAGCAGTAGTTTGCCCACCTTGTTGTTGTTGATTTCTGAGCAATTGTAAACGTTGTTTAATGTGTGGATTGTCCTGGTCTAGTTCGTGAGCTCGTTGATAGGCATCCAACGCATCGCTTATTTGGTTGTTGCACGACTCGTATAAAGTACCGAGGTCGTACCATACTTCGCTGATGTATGGGTTTAGACGAATGGCTCTGCTGTAAGCATCTAATGCGTCTCGGAACTATAACCATTTAGATTTGATATTAAGATTTGATATTAATATATTTGGTCATTAAGACTTCGAAAGTAAATTGGAAGAGGATACTCAAAAAATAATGGTACCTGATTTATTTGATAGTATAACACTCCGATAGAACACCAGAAAGTGGGGTTACGTCCATCACGATACCTATATTATATATAAAAAATCACTTAACTTGTTTCTCTTGCAAAGTTATATTTAAAGTAGTCGCTGAAAATAATAAAATCTATACTTACACAGCTTGCTGATAAGCTTCATATGCCTTATTGTATTTTTGCTGTGCCATGTAGCAGCGTCCAAGTAGATACCACGATTGAGCATCATTACCATCTATGAATCAATTAATAAGAATAAATACGTATTATTCATATTAAATTATGAGTCATAAGTAAAAGTCAAAATTACACACCAGACTCTAACGACTTGGTCAAATAATTGATCGCTAAATCTTGATTCCCGAAATTAGTGTTCTGTTGATGGTAAAGCCAACCGAGCTGCTGCAACACTTTTGCATGATTTGGGTTATCGTTGAGGACACGTTCGTATGCTTCTTTCGCTAATGGATACTATAGATTACACGGAAGAATCAGGTTTTTGTATTCGATTCAGAATTTAGATTTTGGCATTGGGGGTGGGGGTTAATTTAGCTGTGCTTACATTCTTTTGCTGCTCATATACGTGCCCAATTTGAAACCAAATATCTACTTCGGTGAGTGGTCGTGGTGGATTATGAAGAATATATTTGAAGCACTAAGCGAATTAAGATCATAAGCATGAAGAATGTCATTAGTCTATCAATAACATTACAGATTTTTATATTCCAAAAAGATTTTTATTTACCCCTAAACTCATCTCGTACTTCTGCTGCTGTTTATAAATAATACCGAGTCGAAAATAAATTTCATTTGCTTTTTCGAATTTTGGCTCCATAGACATCACTTGTGAAAATGCTTCCTCGGCGTGATCAAGAGAACCATATCGATCATATAGTATACCGATACCATACCAGAGTTTTGGCTCCTGGAGTTTTTCGTTCAAGTAATTAACAAAATTTTCTATTTGGTTCGTTATTTGTGATGACGATGATGATAATTATGTACCTTTGGATTTGGTAAGTGATAAAGTGCTTGTTGATACGCACTGTATGCTTTTTGTAGATCATCCATCATTAGATAGCAATGACCTATGTTATTGTTAACGTTTTTTTTTTAAGAATTAGAATCCGTTTTTAATAAACCAGGGCAAGAAAAGAAAAATACAAATACCTAAAGCACCCCATATTTCACCATTAGTCTGATCAATATTCAAGATGCGATTAAAGAACTCGACAGCCTAACCATATTTGAAAATAATTCATAATTCAATTAGAAATTTTGGTAGTCATCATAAAAAATGAATTAACATAGGATAAATACCCTTGGAAATTGTTCTCTTGCTCTACAAAGAGCTGCTATGTGACCCAACGCCTGAATAGAATATGCATTTTGACGAAGCGCTGATTCGTATGCATTCATTGCTCGCTCGTAATCTTGCATCATTTCAGCTACTTCGCCTATTTACAATTTGTTTTGTTTATTTATGAGATCAAGTTCAAATAAAAAGGTTATTAATTAGTAGTTCTATGAAGGTCCGAGGAATTGGTGTAGATTGATTGCTCTATAAGTCAATCAAACAGAAACGTGGAATTTGTGTAACACAAACGAAAAACAAACATATCTAAATTTGGCTAGAAAATGGAACATAGATTTAAATTTACCTAATTGCAGCCATGTTTGTTCATTGACCTGTGCTAGTTTTTGAAGCGATGCTGGTTGTCCGTTTGCAGCCATACTTGCATCGCCTAATTTGTCAAAAACCAAAAATTTATAAATTTGCTTGTAAAAGTAACGACAAAAGTGTCTTATTTGCGTTAACAGGAGTTGTAATTATATGAAAAGCACATACACAATGAATGATTCGGTTAACGACAACCGTCGACTAACACGAAAAAAATGTAAATTTTTTTGTGAATTAATTAACTATCTATCCTCTACTAACTAAAAATTCCTTGACCAAAGAAATAAAGAGTGAGCGAGCAAGTATTGAGAGATGGCAATTTAAAAACTGCCGGTAGGAAAAAGTATTATACAAGAGAAACCGGAACGTGAGGTTGTAGTAGTAATAGTAATAGTAGCAGTAAACAAAAAACAACACCAAGAAGGTGGAAATAAAAAAAGGGAGAAAAAGGTGGGGGTTTATTAATATGTGTATTTTATCAGAATAGTCTTAGTCTGCCAATAGAGTGACAATCATTCGGCGTCTATATATTAATCTACAACCACAGTTTTGTATTACCAAACAAAAAATGGCTCTAAACTTATTTTAGTCAAGCGAAAAATGCGCATGAATGTTTGTCGGATCCTTACTTAGTTGACTATAGATTATTATCCATTATGATTAATTATACTATGATGACGTTCTAGTAAAGAAGACCGATTATATATTCAAAGATTATGATCGCGCGCACCGAAAATATCTATTTGATTAAAATGATCACCAAGACGTAAATCCACTTGTGTACACATAATATACTCTATTATTCCAAAGTCTGTTCGTTCCCCGCAAGATAAAATCAGTTTACGCTTATTTGTACTAATTTTTTTTATTTTATTAATAACTCGATCAGTTTCCGACAAAAATTCATTTCTCCCGAGTATTATTATAAACATTTTATAGACTAACCATATTAACCATTCGTCCTCATTCTTTTATTCGTCATCAAGTAAATAACACTATCGGAACATTAGAAAAAAGGAAATGAAAGTGTGCGACTACTCCATACTGTATACTGTGAAACCTGTACACTTAAAATTGTATGTATATATAAATATATCGATATCTATGTTTGTGTGTATGTGACTCTCTTGTTTGTCAGTCTTTCTCTTTTTAACTATATAGTCTATTTTTCATTAAATATAAATAGCATAAATCGATTAGCTATGCATAGCGTAAAGATAACTTTTGGCATCGAGTTATATGATATCTCTACTTCGATGGGATTTCCTACATTACAATGCCTTCCCCTGTCTTTCAAAGTTTAAAATCTACATGTGGTTGGCATCAATATATAAATGAAAAGACATTCAATGCTTTCCTAATAAAGTCTAGTTCCTTTGCCACTCATGGTCATAATAATGATCGACACATACATACATGTATAAACAAAACCGAGAAATAAGCCTTTTTCCCTCGATAAACTTGTCTGGGTCTCTCCTGTGTATATGTATGTGTATGTGTGTGTGTGTGTGTGTGTACATACATGTACGATTCATTATTAACAAAAAAATGACATATTGTACCAACTCAGCTGTACAGCAGATCTCTCTTAGCTAGAGATAACTATTATCGTTATTAGGTAAGAGCTTATCAACAATCTTATACTACTAGCCACATGTTATCTTAATCTCAGCTAACTACTTTTGCATCTTTGTGAAATTTAATTGCAAATATTATGGACCATGTGTCATGCTGGGAATTAATTTCAAGATGAAATTACTAGGCGAATGTCACCTGATCTAATACATGTTCAACGAAGATCTACCGCTAATAGTGTCAGAAACTGAAATTCTAGGACACAATCTCAAGTCACGCAATATAATACACGTGAAACCCCTCTGACCACTAATTTTATTATAATTCGCTAATTCCGCCAAAGTCCCAGACAGATTGATCCATGTATAAGAGATTCATAGTTAATAAACTGGACAGATTTGATTTATATTGTAATCAAGGCTTTTACTTTATTATGAGGAATCAATCAATGAATTTAAACTCACTGAATTGCGTTTTAAAGACAGGAGAAATATTTTGGAAACGGCACGGAGTCCTGCATGGACATGGCAATTCGATTGCTATTGTCGACTCCCGAACCAAATAATCCTTTGAATTGTGATGCTGGTGTATTTTATATACAATATATGGGAGGAAATAATCAAATTTAATCCGTTGGAGATAAATTGGGTGTGATTCACTCGTGAGAATGCATGTAAGAAAAACCAATCGGAGGAATGGATTAGGTCATCGTAAGAATAATTTTCTTGTGGAGTTGTCTTATTAAATATAACATTGCATATTCAGACAAGCTTTATATAGAAAAACCATCCTTTAGATGATAAGAATAAATATACATGTTTCAATTCTATTAATTTTCCAATAGCGTAATGTAATTCGGATTAAGTCAAAAATTGCTTATTTGGAATACTAAAAAGAGAAATAATTCGTTATCGTTATTTTTCGAATTCGAGTTGCGTACTTCATAAACTTGCTGAACAGCTGTCACTTCAGATATATAGCATCAACCACGAGCCTCCTAACTTGTCCACGATATTAAACATCTCCACCGTCATCCTGAACGGCGGGTTGAATTCGAGTGTCCAGCAATTCTTTAATCATTTGCATTTGTATTTCGGTGTCGAATGACGGCTGGCCTTCGGTCACAACCAGTTGTCCGGTTGCAAAAAAAATAATGTTTACGTATATATCTGGTTTCATTAGTTGCCAAGATGTGTCTTGGTTGTTATAAAATCGGGACCGAAAAACACACCTCGATGCTAGAGGCTGAACGACCTGAAAGAAATTCGGCAGTTCCTCCTTCCAGCATTACTAGAACACAGATGTGGAATAAGATGAATTTTCTGTTACAGCCAAACCCCGATATGCCGATGCTTCGCTAGTTAAAACCTCAATATAATGATGACAACCCAAGAACACTTTTAATAAAATTTAACGATTTTATAATAAACTCTCGATATAACGATGTTTACTAATTATCATCAAATTTTGACTGTATATTATACTCAAATCTAATTCTTGACCCAATATATCTCTATTCCAAGCAGACAATCAACAGATCAGACGATCAGACGCGTTGTGGACTATTAAACTTAAAACATTCTTCGCAAAGAGAGCAGATCTAATCTGCTCACCTAAATTCGTTAACCAACTTTGTGACGCATCTCCAAGCATGACCACGAAAAGCGACCTGCATCGAAGGCAACAACGATATTCGGATTGTACCAGCTTTGGTTTCTCGTCGACAAAAGGATAAATAAGGCTTTTTGCTTTCCAACATAATTATCGAACTTGACACGACAAACTCGTTTGGCACCGTAACAAGCATGAATGACATCATAATGCTGAAGTATATATTGCAGATGTCCGAGAGGTAGGAATGTTGCTGTTAATAATTTGAATAAAAATCTATTTCTTCTGGATAGATTGATTGCGAAAGATCGTAAAACGAACTAATCTAAAGAAAAAAATAGGTTTTTATTTTATGAATAAGCGTTCGACGACAATATTTATTATACTCATTTTTTGGCATTAATTGATAAAAATTATTTCTCACTGGTGAACAGAAATCATCATGTGCAAAGAAACAAAAAATATAGTGATGTTAGCGGTTCGGAACCGCGGTTCTAACCAGCGTGGCATATTAAAAAAAAACGGTTGATAAAAACAAAGTAAGTTAAGGCAAAATGGACAAGCTATAAAAACTTGTTTCGATGTTTTTTCACTTTCAGTAGTCAATTTTTTAGTCCAAAATAATTTTAATACTAGCATTAATTTCTCCATTCTTATTCGTCTTTCGCAACAATTATGGGATTATCACTTCCATAAACTTTTATACTTGGTTTTTGTTTTGCGAAGTCTGCGTTGCCTATTGGGGATGCTTTTGTGTTTTAATGGGTCGGCTAATTTAATTAATTAGTTGCCGAAGTGTTGAAATGTTTTTCCAATTTAATGACTAACGGCTTTAGTGAATTCTACCTACACCATTTTGGAATCAATATTCAAAATGGTTTTGTTTGGTTTAGAGATATTTGGGTGGCAAACTGGCGGCTGGATAAGATATGTCAATTCGGAATTTCCAAAACCACATATCATTGCATTTTTCTTTATAAAGTCAGACGGTAGATACTATTACAGAATAATCATGCCTTCATAAGATGTATCTTTTCCTCGCGAAGGACAGCTCGCCAAATGAGAATATTATCATTTTGGTTAGATGTTAATTCTGGCGCAATGATGTAGAAGTTTATATATAATAAACGTTTGAGCGTATGAATGTCGCGAAGTATTTGAACAATTTTTGTCGCAATAAAATAATCTGGACTATTGCGTAATTCATGTTTGATATCACGACCATGTCGTAATTGTTCTATTTTAATTATTTAAAACAATTACGGCGGGCAGCCTTGGTGTGGACCTTGCCCGCTCGTTACCTGATTGCGCGTCATAAGAAAATACATGCGAACAAGATGCTGGGTAAAGGATTGGGGACTAAAATTGATAAATTACTTGGATTCTTGTTATTGGAAGAGGCAACAACAGGAAAACAAATAAACCATGTTGTCACATAAAATACTTATTCTGTCAACCACCAAACGTATCGTTGGGAGACGAGGTGAAAATAAAATATGCTCTCTTGCGCAATTACAATAAATTGAGTAGATAATTTTAACGCAATTCTTTAGAGAAACATTCAAAAATCTGTTATATCACGACCTCAATCCGTTATATTGTGTGCATAGTGGCCACTATTCGCTTTTTCTCGATCAAATTCTTATAAGCTGTTACGAATATATTATTTTCTAGAAACTGCAGAAAAAAACGTCGGCTCTAATTCTCTATGGGTTTGGTGTATATATATATTCGTTAACACTTTATTTATTGATCGAAACATTAAATAGATGATGATGATCTAATCCCAGATTAGATCATCGTCAAACTTCATCATGCGGATTATTAATCCTCAACGCTGAAGATATCAAGAAGGAAGCTCAAACATTGCAGTTGTATGAATTGAGGATGGTGCAGAAGACGTATTCCCAATTTCCTTCTGAAAAGAATTATTGGATGAACTTAATGCAAAAGTAGTACCTAAAACTGAATCTATTGGTTGATGCGGTGAAGACAAAGATGATGACGATGATGAAAATGACACATCAATGAAAGGTGGCTGTTGAGGTTTTATGGTGTTGGATTTCGACATAGATGAAAATGAGGATGACGACGAATTATCAATACTATTGTTGAGATCATGAAGGTTGCAAGATAATAAACGAATTATAATAATCAATAATATGCCATACAACACAATAACGCAAATAGGGATTATACCTGCGACTTTCTCCCGTTTCAATTTCAATTTCAATTCCAACTTCACCATCTTCTGGAATGATTGAAGATGAGTGCAGCAAATTCATATTTAATGTTTCTTCATTTTCTTGATTGTTGGTATTGTTATTATTGCTTTTTCGAGAAGCCGGCTTGCGAAGTTTTACAAATAAATTAAATATTATAGCTGAAAAATAATTGATTATAGGTCTTTAAATTGAGAAATAAAAAAAAAAATGAATTATTAGAATCAAGATATGCGGGGAAAAACAAATCTTGGTAAAAAAAAAAAAAAAAAAACGTACCTAATAAACTCGGGAAAGAAACACGAAAATGCAAAAGTATCACTTTGATCCCCGCAACTTCCATCAGAATTGACACGAAAGAAACGAAGATATGTCCACGAGATGATCCAGCCAAATTGTATCAAGAATAGTTGTGATTGTGCTTCGAATACAAAGAAGAAGACATTGCTTAACCCGAGGAGAGCACCCGGGAGATGCTAAATAATATTCAAAAATGTATTAACAATACTTGTGATAAATATGCATAGGATGAAAGACATATCCTTTTTTTGTGAAAGTCCACATATAAAATTTTATATAAAACTTCAATCAATCGATTAATCAAAAATTACCTTCACCCTGACTGAAAAAATCACAAAACTTATCAACATCTCTGGATCGAGTTGCATCAACGCGACCAAGAACCCCATTGTCAATCCTACCATTCCATTTACTTGAGTTTCGTATCTTTATATATTATCACCACATATAGAATCATAAGAGCGCTCCGTTATACAAATTCAATAAATGATAAATCGATAATAACTCACAAGTATTGAAGGTTTTTCGTAAAACCATATTCGATTAAATAGACAATCCATGTAACTATGTAACTTCCAACTGACACTATTCCGACAAACTTCAGGAATTCACGTGGTCCCCATGAACGTTCCAAATGTGATCCAAGTGCAAGCATGGTTATCGTGTTTCCGAATAGCTAAAATAATGGACTAATTTATTTTATAAATTTGATCATCAAGTATAAATCCTATCCCTTGCTGAAAAATCACCCTACCTACTGTAGTCAAATTAGTTTCTAAAAACCCAGCTGTGACAAGCGTCCAAATATGTTGTACAGTAAATCCAGGAACCATAGTTAAAGAATTCAACAGATTTTCTTCCTCAGGTGGGTTCTGTGTCCAATGTCGGTATCTTAATACTACTCCTAAAGACGACAAACCGAAAAGAATAAGGGCGAGAGTGGTCGTGCATGGTGTAAAATTATGTAAGATGCCTGTTTTCTGCCGATATTTAAACAAATAGAGTTAATGTCAGTCAAAACAGTTGCTCGGACTTGAATAATATTTACCTTCAAAATAAGCATTTTTGTAATATCGATGTTGGGTTGTGTAAAAGTTCAATGAATATTAGCCAATTATCGGTGTCACATCATGATTAGCGTAAGAAAAAACGTGCATGCGTGAGTCACCGGAATTCTATCAACATGGCTAAATCGTTTTGGGAATCTTTCAAGTCGCTACCACCTCGAACTCGCATTTATCTAGGATTAGGTTCATGTCCCAGGCAATTTTTCTAGTTTATTTGCATCCCATTTAAATATATCGAGTACAAGAGGTTCTCTGATACTCTGAATAAAATTATTACGTACATAAAACATATCTATCTGTAGGTGGAATAGCTATTGGCTTGACGGGAAATTATATAAGTGACAAACTCGAAGAAAAGTTTCCTGACAATATACCATCAAACCCTCCCACAAACGCTAGCGGTCAGACTGAAAATGCGTCTTCCAATTCCCAATAAATAGATGATAGTCAAGAAGTAGATGATGATGTAAAATAAGTATCGACCTCTGTCTTCCCTCGATGTAATATTAAATTTCGTAATATCGCATAGCATGACTGACCGACTCCTTGGAAGTGGAATGTATGTGGTGTGATAAATTTTATTTGATTTGGAAATATCTTTGAGCACCGTAGCATCTTCATTATAATCTCCGTCATATAGATCTATTCTCTCGTTATTAATAAAAATGTCAAGTAAATATTTTTTGAAGTCATATAATTTTTCGAGAATGTAAGGATGCAGATGACGACGAAGCTGACGAGGAAGAAATCATAGGAATAAAATCATCTTTTTTCTGTAGAAGCATGGTTAAGAAATTTTTTAGTATTCCGGCCTTGTTCCTTGCCGGGATTGAATCGATGTTTTGTATATTTGGATCTAAGATTAAAAAAGATTATAAGTCAATCAATGACTAAATTCAAATTTCAATTCCACATATGCAGCAAATAATGATGTTAGTAAACAAACCAAAAGAGGGCAACGCATGGTCATTTGCACTCAACGAAATAAAATACGCAAAAGGAACAAGCCACACGCAGATTCCAAAAAACGCCGCGATATCCAAGAATGGGAAATGCCGTAATGTAAAATATTGGAACCATTGAAAATGATCAAATAAAACAAGAACTAACAAATAAGACGGAAGAAATCAATAGAGTGGACCACAGATATCTTTGTGACTTTCGTAAACACAGTAATATGTATTTTACCACAACTAGCCACAAACGGTAGACTCGTCAAATTAATAAAAGGGAACGTTTCAAGATTCAACGAGTATATTCCATGACATGTTATCGAAAACGTGATACGCCAAAATGGGAATCCGTCAAATAGCCATAATAGAATATGTGCAGTCACTACAAACTATAGTTATCATTATTTATTGCATTGATTAAAATTGAGAATCCCAACCAAGATATGGAATGAAATGGATCATTTTTTCGCGTCATGAAAATAGAATTTTAATAGTACGCACCACTGTTACATGCTTTATGATCTTTCGAGTCATTACTGTATATTCTTCTACAAGCTCGGCTATATATGTAACATATAAAGTGAGAATCATATAATATTACGAATTGGAGTATAAACGAGTTAACCAATCTCAAACATCAAATAGATACCTAGGTAATATAGGCCGCATGCTGACAACACATACAAAAGATTCGAAGATTAATAATTAATCTAAAATCTATTTACAAATTGACCCACTTACTCACCTAAACTCAATATGAAAAATAGAAACCCAACGATGGCACCACCATATGATAGAACATGCAAGAAGCTCATACCTGTTTTACGATTACTTTGAGGGGTATATAACAAATATGAATGTAAAGTTATGTGTGATAAAAAGTTTCAATTCTCGTTATGTGACACGCCTGCATCATTGATTGGTTAGGTTTTTCGTCGGAATGATTACACATAGATCACTTTTGACCAGCATTTATTCTGTACCATTAAATCGCAAGTTACATAGATCAAAATTCTTTTAAACAAGGAAATATAAGGTTTTGAGGTTTATTTTCTATTATTCATTATCGATCACAATATTCAAGAGCAATCTTTAGTCGAAAATTTGTAGTAAAGTTCAAATCTAATCAAAAGAAAAATTAAATCTGTCTTCCTATATCCCAGCCCATACTCCGTAACTTTCTCACTAGCGGAGGTGTCATCGCAGCGGTAACACCCAGTCGCAACGGCAACAAAATTTTATGAATTCCATACGCAATAACTAGTGTGCTCATCAAAGACGGTGTCTGTTTAGTACTATCACTACCACTATTACCACCATCATCATTCGTTATCATCGATAAAGTAGTATTGTTCTCTTGACTAGAAATCATTATAGTAGTGTTAAGATTACGATCTTTATTATCGTCACGATTCTGACGATATATCGTATTAATACCGAAAGTCTCCGTAATCCAATCCTCAATCTTCTTGACTCGTTCTCCACCCCCGCTTTGTAACAGTATAAACGTGGCGGCCAAATCCATCGCAGAAATCGCAAGATAGATTACCACCGCTGAGGCACCATATCGTCGAGTCAACAGTTTAAGACGGGAAAACATTGAAAGACTTTCACCTGCATTCTCGATTCTGGTACTTGTGCTGGGAGTTTTTGAATGGGGGTATCGACGAACGTGAAGAATGCAGTCGCGAGAACTGGCGGAAAGGTTTTTGTGTCGTGAAAATGTGAGAGGCCAGTGTGTAGTAGTATTGATTTTTGGCTTCGAAACAAATATCGAATAGAATTTGGAGTAATGTGGTATTGTAGAGTTTATAACGAATTTATTGTTATCTGGTTGAATGAAGAGAGTTGTTGGTTGACGCGTGGGATTATTAAAAGTGGCCCTTACATAGACTAAAGGAGAAGACCATGAAAATGAAATAAACGATAATGGTAAAATATCTGAATCTCTTGTCAAAAATAACTTTGAACTTCCCCGTTCCGCTAAGGGAATAACATGTTTCCAACGAAACATTTGTTAATTTCTAATTTGATAAAATAACGATATCCAACTAAAATTTTAGTCATTCGGAAAAATCAGCCATTGTAGTCACAATATCATATCATATCATATCGAGTAGATCTTAAAAGATGTATTGGTGATCTGTATTTGTAAATAAGGGGGGGTAAAAGATTCAAATTTATAGAGTACAAATATCCCTAACATTAAGCTTGATTTATAAAAACTCAACATTCTTACACTTCCCAAACACGCAACTACAATGTTTACGTCATGATTAATTGGCTTTTATAACCTGCTATTTGAAGCCGCCTCGATCATCTGAATTCGCATACTTCTCTCCAACGTCTCTGCTTTAGAAATTTCGAGAATAAGAGAATTACAAATTCCCAATTCTTGTATTTCTTCCTTTATGTTGACGCAGAGATGGTGCATTAGTTGCGCGACTTCATGAATCTTTTTAATAAATTATATATAAATATTAAGAGACCGAAGAATTATATAATTTAATCAATGCCGTTCTCTTCTATTTAATATCAAATAATATACCATTGCTGATGCTAGAGTTGTGGTCTCCATGACTTTTGATACGGCTTCACAACATTCGTTGATTTGAGATGACAATGCGTCTTTTTTTTTTGAGTTGGAAATACTCAAACAATTTAGTAAACAATAAAAAATCCAAATGTACAACAAATAAATGGTTTACCCAGATTCCCGATTTCTACATTAGGAATCGGCATGGCCGTTGTTGTGCTTTCTAGCGAGGAGGCAAAAGGAATGTACCGCATCTTGAAGTTTTCTAAGTCTTGAATCACCTGGAGTAGCTGATCTCTCTAAAAGATATGTATTCACATGCAGTCATATTCAATGTTTAGATTAACGTCAAATAAGAACACATCTTCTGGTCAGAACAGAACTATCGAGCGTAATTGATTAATTTACCTGCACACTCAAAGTCTCTTGTAACAAGAGCATCTCTTGCGCCAATTCAAATCTTCGTTTTGCCTCATCGAATTCTTTTTGTTTTTGTAAAAAAAGTTCCCATGCTTCTAATAACTGAGCCTGTGATAACCGATAACGCAATCAATCAAAAACACGAAAATAAGAATAAAATAGATGTTGATTAATAATTCATACCTCCACAGCCTGTTTCTGACACTCAAACGACTGCGAAGCCTTAGAATTGATAAAAACCCACTGTGTCAAACGTGTGTTCAACATCATCACCTCATCGTCCAAGCTCATTACATTCGTCGTATTATTTTTGCGTCCTGTCAAATCCAAAGTCTATAAATACACATGTATATATATATATGATAGTAAATGTAAATATGTATAGGTAAAAATATATCCTATAAAAGTTTGAAAGGTTCAGACAGATTGAATGTTTTTTGGATAGTCAGAAAGTTTGAAAAAAAAAAGGATTGGATTTACCTTGAAATTATTAGTTGGTGCAGAAGACTGAGAGGAGAGACTTGATTGTTTTTTTGCGGTTTCTATGTAATTTTTTTTAACGGAATTCAGTGGGTCGTCATAATAATCATCCAAATTTTTTCAAACAATATACCTGAGCCCGCTGTGTCTTTTGCTAGAGTAAAAATATAAGAAATCATTATTACAAAGTTAATATATTTTTTATTTTTAAAGTTAGTATTGACATCTACCTGCTTTCTTCATAGCATTAAGAGATCTCAAAGTATCCTCCCGCTTCTTTGCCAAGGATGTTTTTGCTATCTCAACAGAAGACAAAGTCGAACGCGAATTAAAAAGTCCACGGTGAGTGACAGCGGCAACACCAGAGACAGGATTTGTGGCTTCCTTTGATTTTGAAGATCTTAATGTATTTTCATTTAGATTTTTTTTGTTGGAGATTCCTGTTGATTGCTGTTTTTGTTGATGATTTTGCGTCGAAAGTGACTGCATATAACGTGATGGAACCTCACGAACTATTCATTATTTTATATCAAAGTTTGTGAATAATCATTCAACCAATTATGATCAAGATAGGTAATAATATTAATTATGATCTGTGCCTTTCTTCTTCCTTCCAGGTGTGCCTGTAGAAACACTCGTCGAAGCCGTAGGAATAGGGGATACATTTCTTTCCACGTTATTATTGTTATTGTCTTTTTGTGGTAAAGTAGGCTGTTTAGAAGTCTCAGCTTCCATTTTTGTAATGTGTGATTTGGTTAAGAATGGGTTGTTGTCGTAGTCGTGTCTGTTCGAGAATTAAAGAATGAAATGTAGAATGAAAGAACTCCGCCCTTCCCTTTAACAGTAAATACATTACATGGCCTTCTCTGTAAATGCAGTTCGTCTTCTGGCTGGTTTCGGAAGAGAACTTAAAAAGAAAATTTTCTCGAATTAATGTCTAACCCAAGGAAATATTGTTTTTAGTCGCCACTTACTTTGCACTTAATGCTTTCTTTTTCTCGGGGAATGTTGGTGGTTTATTATTCATCTTTGAGACGCGTATCTTTTTTTGGTAATCTGTGGGTTAATCAAGACAATTTTTTTGGTTATCTCTAAATCAGTGCGCATTGATAAAGTGATTGCAAAACGCGTTCGATCATTTTATTAATATGATATATTCGATATATGGGAGTAATTTATATAAATTCTAATACAATTTACACCGTTTCTATTGCACTTATCCGAACCCCAAAAAAAGGCACAATTTCGTTCTATTATGACATGCCAAAGTTATCGAATTCCAAGGTAGTTGGATCTCAAAATATTTGAATATTTTCCTGATTTTTTTCTGAACTATTTTATTTTTTATTTAAATTCGGAAAATTCACACTTTTTCTCCATTCAGAGCCTTTCTTACCATAACTTCTTGACTGAGTAATCGGTCGTAATCATATACATGTAAAGGCTGCAAATTGATAAATAATGTTTAAAATGTATTTTTTAAAATAAAATAATTTTTTAATTTATTTTTTTTTGAAAAGTATTGCTTCATTTATTATTGGGAGTTTTTCATCGATGATGTTCCTGGTGCGAATACAGTTTGAATATTAACCATGAATGTATGGTATCGCGTCATGGTGAATAAGATTTTTGTTTCTCAATTTAGTACCGTAATTCATTCCAGCCAAACATAATTCTGAGCAAAATTATAATTTAGTATCGTAATTCATTCCAGCCAAACATAGTATAAAATACCCCCTCATTTAATATACCCTCTCTGAATTCAGGGTGATCACCAAAAGTTTGGGCCACGTGATAATTTGTTGATAATATTACAATGCAAAAAGAGATACTGTTCACCAAATGTGAACAATGATTAAAAAAGAGAATTAAACAAAAGGGCAAAATAATAATAAAAAAAAGGATATCTAAGTTTTATATCAGTTTTTATTGAAATTGTTATGATTCAAAGAAAAATATAAAGTATATAAGAGAGTTATGGAAAAATAAAAGGAATATTGTAATAAATAAAAAAGATACTAAGATAAATAATATTAAAGCTTTTATATTAGTTTCAAACAGTTTAGAGCTGTTAAAATATAATATATAATAAAAATAATTACACTATAAATTCAAGAATTCTGATTAATTAATCAATTATTATATCATAAAATTTGATATTACTAAAATATAATACTTAATATTTTTTGGTATTTCATACTGTAATAAATATTACTGCTTTAATATCTTTAAATATTCTATATTGTACTTGACAAGAAAATTTGAATTCAAAAAATTTGTTATTACTGGAATAAGTATTTGTTATTGACTAGTTATTTAATATTTTTGTTATAATTGTAATATTT